AGCGCAGATAGCGATATTCAAACCAAATTTTATGATTATGTTAAACCTTACGTTGCTAGCTTATCAGTAATTTGCTGTTTAACTACATAGAGCATTACGAGCTAGAATGCTAGCCTTAAGAGCTTGAATGATTAGTTTGTTTGGTTTGAATTTCGCACAAAGCTACACGAGGGCTATCTGCGCTAGCCGTCCCTAATTTAGCAGTGAAAAACTAGAGGGAAGGAAACTAGTCATCACCACCTACGACCAACTTTTGGGCTACTCTTTTTACCAATAAAAAGTGGGATTGAATGTCGCATTATAACGCCCCCACGGCTGAAAGGGCGATTATGTTTGGTGGGACGATGTTTCGAACCCGCGACGGACCCTCAGATTGTGAGTCAAGTGCCCTAACCACCTGGCCATTTCGGACCGAACGATAGAGATGGGGCGATAATAATATGAAAAGTTGAGGGCGTTATAACATACATCTACTGTTTGTGACTTTTTGTATTTTTTTTTCTGTATGCTATTTTTGATGCTATTAATTAGTTGTTTGTTTGCTTTCTATATTCGCGCAAAGCTACACAATGTGCATCTGTGCTAATCGTCCCCAATTCGCACTGATAAAATAGAGGTGTTCCTCGATGTGACAGCGGTGAGTTTACGTAATTAGAACGCTAAAATCCGGGGTTCGATTCCCCGCGGTAGGCACAGCAGATAGCTCAATGTGGTTTTGCTCTAAAACAAACAAACAAAGAAGACTAGAGGGAAGGCAGCTAATCGACAACACCCATGACCATCTTTTGAACAGCTTTAATCGAATAGTTGGATTTGACTGTCATGCTTATAACGCACCCACGGAGCGCGATATGTTTTATTTTATTTTTGTGCTCACGGGCCTCGAGCCATGGATATTCGGATCTACAGTCCTACGCACTAACCATGAAGTCGTTTTATCATTGTTGAGTCAACACTGTTAATACTTCTATTTCTCATGTTTTATCATTGTTGAGTCAACACTGTTAATACTTCTATTTCTCATGTTTTATCATTGTTGAGTCAACACTGTTAATACTTCTATTTCTCATGTTTTATCATTGTTGAGTCAACACTGTTAATACTTCTATTTCTCA